TAGCTACTTTAGGATGCTATTAAAACTACAAGCCGACGAGTTAGGATTCGGGCTCGCGATGTGCGTGCTGTTGTCCAGGAGTAGTTCCCAGAGTCCTCATTCACCCAGCGAGATATCTATAACGCTAGGGCTCGTATAAATCGAGAGAAACTAGCGGAATATTTGCCAATTGCAGCATTAATCAAGCTGTTTGATGAGCAAGACATCCTATACGTGGTGAAATGGGCAGACGCCGAGCCAAACCGCCTTATTGGCCTTGTCTGGACCTTTCCCTACTGTCTCCAAATGTGGAAGCGATTCCCTGAGGTGATTAGCTTTGACAACACCTACAACACCAATCGCTTTAAGCTCCCTCTCTTCCAAGCTACTGGGCAGACCTGCCTTGGATTTATTTATAACGCTGCGTTTGGCCTTATCGACAACGAGAGACTAGAGGGTTTCCAGTTTCTCTCAGCAGGGATCCGCCAACTCATGGACCAACACTCAGTCCGTTACCCCACTGTTATTATTACAGACTACGACAAGCAGATGAAGGCTGCACTGAATGAGCAGTTCCCAGACGTGCAGCAACAACTCTGCATCCACCACATCAATTCTAACGTTATGCTCAGGGCTAAGCAGAAGTGGGTTAAGGACCGCAGCTGTAGCAGTAACAGCAGTGGGTCTGATGACGAGGGATATCAGCTACCAATACAAGCAATGGCCACGCTAAGTGATGAGGATGAGGCCTATATCAACACATCTATTGATAAGCCCCCCCTCATACGTATCGTGGGGTCCTTATGATGTGGAAGCTTGTTGTTTTTGCTGAGACTGAGCACGCTTTTGAGAGAGCCTGGACCAAGCTCTGTAAAGAGTTTAACGACCAACGCCCAATCCTCCAGTACCTCCACATAACATACCTACCTTTAAGAGCACAGTGGGCCCGCTGCTCTATCCGAAAATACCAGAACTTTGGTGTTCGCGTCACCTCTGGCACTAAGTCAAGTAATAACAACATTAAGAGTTATCTCTTAAATGATCTTAGTCACCTATATCGACTTGTTGATGTTATGTAGGACATGATTGGTGACCAGGAGATACGCTTCAGGCAAGCTTATGCTAAGGATGAAGTACTTACAAGCCGGGAGTATATAGGTACTCGCTTTGAGTACCTAGGCGAACTTCGAACGATGCTTTCCTCGAAGTGTCTTACATTAATTGGGAAGCAATACCGGCTGGCAAAGAAGGCAATGCCGTCTGGCACGAGGCCATTCCCAGCCCCCCTTGGAGACTGTGGTCCAGACTGCACTGTTTCAATTGAGCTAAGTATCCCATGCTGCCATAAGATCTACTCCCAAAAGTTAAATTCAGCTACTTTCAGTAAATGGGAGGTACACCCTCGGTGGCGTCTTCGAGAGACGTCTTCCTCAGATCCATACCGCCGGATCCTTGACCCTAAGATTGCTGCATCCCTCCGCGGCAGGCCAAAGAACACAGTGCAGCCTGTCCCATCACAACTAGCCTTACCTGCAGAGGGCCAGTCAGCCAGACAAGCCCGCACTACCTACAGCAGCCAAGGCGCAAGTAGTAAGAAGCGAGGCCGCCCACCTGGGAGCAAGAATAAGTCGACGCTAGCTGGGCTTACACAAGAGACAAGTCAGCCAAGTCAAAGCCAGATATCAAGCTCATCCCAGCGACAAACAAGGAGCCAGTCTAGTGTTCTTGGTAAGGGGAGGACAACAGGGAATCATGCAAGTGGACGGCCGATGCAGCCTAGTGTTAGGAGGAAACGGAGTCAGTGGGAAATGGTCTGTAGTGACGATGAATCTTTGCAACCACGTCGTAAAAGGTAGTTAGGTAATAGGCCTTTCGAGGGGTTATATAGTCCCTATTTGAGATTTACAAACCTGGGGTATAAGTAGGCTGTAATACGTACTTTTAGAAATCTCAAATCCGAGCTTAGTGTTACGACCCAACATGAAGACCAGGGCGTGCCCCGCTGACGCCTAGCGGCTACGGCGCATCATATATGCAGGACGGGACGGAACATTGGGGAAACCCCAGGAACGGAAGAACTATGGTACAAGTCACGTGATGATAAGAGATATGATAAGGGATAAGGATATGTTGGATATGCGACATATCCAACCGAGTCAAGGATATGTTGGATATTCGGCATATCCAACATATCCAGACAAAGTGGACTGTACAGCACTGTTCAGTTAGGATCGGACTTGTATATAAGGATGGACTCGAGCTGGGCTCTAGGACAGACTTTCCATAGCTCTTCAGCAATTAACTTCGTATCAGGATTAACATCCGCTTTCAGCTACTACCTTGACAAGACTACGATTGATCACCGAAGCCTTACCTACCCTTACGATTGACAGACATAGTTTCCTTGAAACTATTCCACGACTACGATTACTGTTACCAGTTCCGCAGCCTCAACTTCTGCAAACTACCCCTACGACTAGCTGGCCGTAACACTTAGGTTAGAGAAGAGGGCAGGAATAGCCATGTTAGTGCAGTCACCCTCACCGCCTTTATGGGGAGGTATTGTTTTTTTGAGCCAATCAAAAGGTCGAACAGCGACGCCGGTGTAAGGTCGACGCCGGTGTATCAATTTGCGACGCCGGTATATCAATTCCCATTAAATAATAATATGACCCTACCTTAATTTAAAAAATCTTTAATTCTAAGCTAGTCCGCTGTAAATATATAGAAATATTAAAAATATAACCTCTATACTAGCCTACTTAATACTTTTTAAACCTAGTAACGTTAAAGCGTACTAGAGGCTTATGTTACGCCCGCCGCAACTTGTCACTGTGGGCGCGTAGCTATATAATGCAGAACAAGGGAAAATGATGCGGAGTCATCATTATCGAAGCTTTTGCTTTGTGCCACAGTTGATTGCCTTGTCCTGCTCGTAACAGCTTAGTTTATAATTCTAGGTATGTCCCGACTTTATATTATTCCGCCCGCTAGTTAAGTAGTTATATATTAATAACTTTATAATATTCTACTATGCGGACTAGGATAAAGAATACCGCCCTTTTTATAATAATAAAAGACCCGAGATTTTAGAGGCATACCCAAGCTATTAGGATATCAATCGCTCCGCCCTATACATTGAGATTAAAGCCAGCTAGCGTACTATACGATAAGCCCGAGATATCCCCGCCTTTATAAAAAGGTTATTCAAGCCACTATTACGGCCATTATTAACAGCCTTAATATAAAGCGAGTACCCGACCATACCTCCGGGTAATTGTATACCGCCATAACTAGGTCCGCCTAAAAAACCACTAGTAGTTAAGTAAACTAGCCCGATGGTCTTATATTACCCGGATATTAAATATAGTAACGTATTAGAGGCGGGGCTATCAAAAGGAAAGCAGGCGGTTATATAAGAAAATCTTTAAATACTTGACCTTATTATAAAATAGTCCCTAAATAATAACACTAGCTTTAAATAACTTATCCTAGGCCCGGCCTTGGTTAAATTAGTATTATTTATAGTGGTGGCCTGTTAATATACCCCGGGCTATTATAATACCGGAGCACTAATATAAAATAGTATATTTCTTTAAAGGTTTTATATAATATCTAGTTAAGATTACTAAATTCTAAGGCCCTTAGGAGAATTAAATTATATCTTAAGACTAATCCTTAAAAATATATCTTTTAAAAACCTCTTAGAATATTAGCTATTTTTATATTCGAATACTATTATTCCCCCGGTACCTACGGCGGCACTAGGGAGTAATCCTCTTATAAGCCTCCTATACGGCGGATAGATAACGTACTTGATAAGCGAGCTGCCCAGACAAGCGAGCTGCCCACCCAACCGCGTTCATCCTTCCTCCTCACTTCTAATGCGTATCACGCCACAAATAATCATGTCGTCACAAAGCAAAGAGGCCCAATTGAACTTAGCAGTCGAGGCTATCCAAAAAAACCCTAAACTCAGCATTCGAGCCGCAGCAAGAATCTATTCAGTCCTCCCTAGGACCCTAGGCACCCGATTAAAAGGCACACCTACACGACAAGATGCTATACCTAACTCACGCAAATTAACGGAGCTTGAAGACGAGAAGCTAGTTGAGTATATCCTCGACCTGGATTCCCGATCGTTTCCTCCCCGGATCAGTAGTATAGAAGAAATAGCTAATCGATTACTCGCCGACCGCGACGCGCCCCCAGTTGGGAAGCGCTAGGCTTCAAACTTCGTTAAACAACAACCACAGCTCCGGACGCGCTTTTTTCGCAAGTACGACTAAGTTAGTACTTTTATATAAAAAAAAATAATTTAAGAGACTTCGTTTATAATATGGTTTATATTAAGTTAGGACTTTCGGGCCCGGATAGGCTTATATCCCGTCTATATTAAGACCTCCTCTTACCAGAGTAGCTAGGTCGAGGGTATCCCTATTAAAAATCCATAACTTAACAGGGCATTATAGGACGACGTAAGTAAACTATTTAATAAGGTGTTACGGCCTAAACAGTTGGTCCTGTCATAGCGTAGCTATATAATGACCCTGCGTTAAGGGGTTGTAGGTTCAATTCCCGCACGCTGCGTCGATAGTGTAATTATGCCTCCCACACTATATAGGGCGTCCCGACCGTAGGCAGCACGTATTGGACTGGTTACCCCGTACCTCTGCTGGAGTTTCCCTACTTATACCCGCGATTTGTCCTATTGGTCCTCGGCATAGGGACATGCCTCTTGGAGGGGAGATATGGTATTACGGCCTAAACGATTGGTCCCGTCATGGCGTAGCTATATATACAGAACAAGGGAACCAGGACATGAATCCAGGAGGAAACCCAGTCGGAGCGCCAGAGTCCACACGTTGAAGAGTAAGTAGCTCATACCAGAGGGCGATTGCGGTGAGGACTCTTAAGGCCAGCGAGTACTAGGTTCTTAATAATATTCAACCCATTTCTATACCTTGTTATACCATTTTGGGCGGGTCTCACGCAGTATTCCGCCGAAAATACTATGAAAATGGGAAATAATGATGAGCCGTAGATTGTGCGGTTGAACTAAGTGCATATGTCTAGTATTGCTATCATGATTGGTTACATACAGTAGCAATTACGTTCACAGCAATAGAGGTACCTCACTCTGTAACTTCGCGGTTGGTCTCGCCCTCGCCATTGTCGGTGTGTGGGATAGAGCCTCCGTCTCATCCAGTAGGAACCTTTTTATATGGGATGCGGCGACCAGCCCTGCACCAGTTCATCCATGCACTTTCACGCAAACGTGACCGAGTCTACTCGAAACTTCTCCGCGAGAATCAAGTCGACCCTTTCAACAACGGCTCACAGCTCGAAGCCCTCGCATGACTAAATCATCCCTGCGTCATTTATAACCCGCCATACAATGACACAACTATCTCGTTAAGAAACCCGCCTTCTCTACCGCTTCAAGGCAAGCAAGACAAGAATCCTGACAACCGATCCAGCACAGGCTGTTGCTTCTCCTTGGACGCCGTCGTCTTATCATTTGAATCACCAACGCTGACTGAAATATAGCATCCCGCCGTGCCGACGACCGTGTTCTCCTCGGGCAACCTCGCGTCGTCACCGCACGTGCTCACGTCCGGACCGGACAGCAGACCCGGGTTGATCCGGCTCAGGACCCACTTGAACTGATCCGGGTCATTACACTCCGTGTCGCTAACTTCCGGGAAATTGACATTCAACCATGTCTTCTCCGGTAAGTACGGAGCGCCCCCGCTCACAATCTCGTCTACCAGCCGGGTCGCGAGCTCGGCGTAGACTGCGCTGCGCGTAGGCACAGGAAGCGTGTTCCACGCGAGAGTGCCATTCGAGGAGCCGGAGAAGGCGATGGAGGGGATACCCTTTGTTCCCGAGGCGTAGACGGCGGTACCGACAGTGCCTGAGAAAGGAACCTGGAGCCAGAGATTGGAGCCAACGTTTGGGCCAGAGACGGCGAGTTCTACGGCGGCGCCATTGAATTGCTCTGGAGCAAACTGCTCGATACCGTAACGCATGGAGGTTACTGGGTATGAGTTGACCCAGCGGAGGTCCTTGCGGGTCTCATTGAAGCCGACTGGTCCGCTGTTGGCTGCGCAGCTGTTGTATTGGCAAGCGCTAGTGCGCGGGCTCGGCTCAACGTCGAAGGAACCTGTGATGGATCTAGTGTTAGTGGATGTATCCTTCTTGAATGAACCTTGGAATGAGATTAGCTTTACATACTGGAGCCGGACTTATTCTCAGCAGGTGCCGAGAGTAGGACGTCATGACCCGAGGCTCTCAGCGCATCGTTGAAGGAGCGAACATAGAGCTCTGCCCACCCATCGTCATTGGACTGGACGATCCGCACGCTCTGGACGGCGAGAGCCTGTGCAAGGAACGCAAAGGTGGTGTCAGCGCGCATGGTGATATGAGATGGGTGCACGCTGTGGCACGTGGTCCGAGTCCGGGGGTGAGACGGAGGTGCGGAGTGGATGGGAGAGCGGGCGGCTTGCGGCGGGAGTCTTGAGGGTGCGGGATGAAGGGACGGTGGTTCTCGCGATGTGTGTGGCAATCGTCAACCTTAAGTAAAGAAGCAAATCAATACCCCAAGGCTTACCCCTGGGCCGCTCAGGAACGTCTTGTGCGAACCACGTCTGACACGTGCCACTGGATCGCAGACGAAGAGGGGGAGGGAGGCCTTTCAGGCTTCAGCTCTCCGTCTACCCCGGTTGCGATGTGAAGCTGGCCGACGGGAGCCGCAGGCGGCGAAATGATCATCGACCGCAATATCACCCTAACCCCCGCACACCAATGGCTGTCAGATGCGCCGATGCCCCTGAATCAGTGAAACCTGCCCTAAAGAGGCAAAGGGCCAACCGAGACAACCGAAGCTTGTTTACCATCGCCCCAGTAGAGCTGCAGCTCGTCAATCGCCCCTCCTTGTTGTAGGCCCATTCGACCATCCAGAAAGCCAGGAGACCTGTCGAACTGCTTAAGCTCGAACACGTGGGCCTCTTGGCCGTTGATTCTTGACATTGTGCCGGCGACCGGTGCCGCAAAAGGGAGGCAGTGCCGATACAGAATGCGACGCTAAACGGGAAGACTAGGACAAGGGTCCGTTGGCCACTCTTCTCCCTGAGAAGCTTGCATCGTGGTGCAGGGGTACATGCTCGTCACGTCAAGGTGCAGTCGAATAACCTCCGCCATTGGGGCACATCGGTTGCTGATGACTTCAGGACGGAGTACTGGGTGTCCAGGGGCAGAAAGTCTATATGTTACCAGATGTGGTCGTGAACTTTGTGCGTAAAATGGATATTTGATGGTGGCGTCGAGATAATTCCGTTCAACGGTCAGTCGAACATCGACTAATACTTCCGAGGTGATATGTCCTAAGTCTTCGATATGGTTCTATTTTTTCGACTTTTGGTAATGCATCATGAACCAAGAACCTCTCTTTTGGGACCTTGGTTACTTCGGGAGAGTAGTACCAGAGCACAGTCGCAACTAAAGATGGACACCATTTCGAAACTGCGGCAGCCCCAAATAGCCAGCTCTCAGCTCTACAACAGGCCGGTGCTTGTCAGCTGGTCGATCGCGGCGAAGCCACAGCAAAGCCACACCTTGTCTCGTCTCATCTTCCTCCGAGTGACGTCAAAGTGGTATACCACCGGAGAGATGTTCAGCCAAAGCCAGGCGCTTGCGTGTAGAGGTGCGGTGGGCCTGGGTTCGCGAACTCCAAGGTCTGGTACAGGATCAGAAGAATGTGCGGAAGGGCGAAGTGCGGGCTTCGGAACAGCTGGATATTTGCGACAATACTGAGGATCATTGAGGGCCGTTACATTTCGAAAGGGCGCACAGGAACGTGATTGATGTATGAATGACCTTCTGCTGGAAGTCTATGCTGAATTGCTATGCACTACGATACATGTTCTTGCTACAAGAAAGACGCCGAGACCTCGTCCGCTATCACTGCAGGAAAGTCGCAGGCACCTCCGGACCTGTAGTAAATCAGTCAGCATAAGTTATGTCTCCCACCTACGGTTCTAACTCACCCCAGATGTGTAGGTTGTCCGGCGCGGCGGGGGTATGGTGCGTCTTCTCCGTGTCGTCGAACAGGTCGCCATCGACGTAGTGTTCCATGATGAAGCCCGAAGGGTCGAACCTGTCCTTTTGTCAGCTTTCCATTCCGCTTTCCGAGTATCGGAAAGCCACCGAAGCTCCCATCGCGGACTTACCAGTAGTCAAAGATTTGACTCCCCATAATATGACGGCCCACACCCCAACAAATCTTATAGCCCTGTTCTCTCAGCCAGTCGTGGCCCAGCAACTGAGTATCAAAGTCGTGCGTCTCGAACGAGGAGTGGTGGACGTGGAACTTGGGCCCCTCAAGGAAGAAGAAGCAGTGGTGGTCGACGAATTCCTTGCCGCGTGCCAGGCGGAAAAAGACCATCACGCTCTTGTCTTTGTTGTCGGGGGCGTGGACGAGCTGCATATGTTAGAATGGCTGCAGTCCGGTTTCGTGCGCTTGGGATACTCACCTCACTAGGGTACAGGTTGAATTTGCTAGTGTAAAACTCGTACGCCTTGTCAAAGTTCGTCAGGCACACGCCGAAGTGGCCCATCTTGTGAACCGGTGCCGGGCGCTTGGTGAAACGCTGCATCTTGTTGACGTCGCGATGCATTTCTTCCGGCTTTATTGTAATTAGCATGAGCACCCTGGATTTCTTGGTGCGATTCGCTCACGAAATTGAACTTGAGATTCGAGAATCCCGGATCTCTCTTCTCGACTGGCGTCTGATTGTACACAAGATGCAGTGGCCAGCCGTCGACGGGGTCTTTAAATGTCACACATTTGCCGCCACCCGGCACGTCTTTGAGGTCGTGGATTTCTGTTGCACTTGGCAACGTCTTAGACGCGTACTCGAGGTCCTCCAAGGACTCCACAACGAAAGCCGGACCTCCGAACTCGTCCTCCTCCGCCTCCTCAGCACACAACACGAACGGCTCCGTGCCATAGCCGCGGTAGAATGTCTTGTTGCCCTTGCGCTCGAGCTCGTAGAAGCCGAAGTCGTCGTAAAACTTGCGAGCTTCTTCAATGTTCTTGTGCTTATAGAAGACGTGCGCCAGGCGGACAAGCTGGATTTTTCTGTCAGGCATGGTGGGCGTAGCTCGTCGGTGCTGTGATTGTGAAGACCTCGGGAAAAGCTTGACTGTTGGTGCAGAGCTTCGGCGTCCGATGCTGCTTGTAAAAGGCAAGCAGGGAGAGAGCTGTCTTATATTTAGAGCTGGAGCTGAGATCTCACCGGCACAAATGCCGTTGGATGGGTGATTTAGCCATGTTTGTTCCCCCGCACTACCCCACTGCAGTCCATCGGACGTCACGCACGCTCGGTACTTGCGCTGGGGGCGTCTAAGTCCGGCGCAAAAGGAGTTGTAGTGGCTGCAAGTCCCGAAACTGAGACGGCGGTTCGGGGGTCGTGGCGTTTGGTGAAAGCCCTGGCTTCCACTAGGATGTTTCTCGAGAGAATCCCGACAAGCCCGAGGCGCCAAGGCTGAAGCTGTCGCTCATCTTTCTAGTATCATGATTCATAAAGTTGAAGATTCAACGAATCGTATCGTTCTCCCTCATTTCAAGTGCCGAGTGACTCTACCGCTTGAGTCGTTGTGTATCAGAGCTTCCTCGGCACACCCACCAAGACAGACGCAGGTGAAGGGTGGGCAAAACATGCTTTCTGACGGATGGCCATAGCTCTCGGAGCCAAAAAGTAGTCCCGAACAGATATAATCAACACACAAGGTTCCTACACTTTGCCGGGAAGTAGCCACTTGATGAACAATGGCCAATCTTTGCTGCCTACATTCGATTGTTCTCTTCCTATCATCAGGACGCGGGGTAGCGGCATCGCGGGGTGCATCGTCGGCATGTTGCCGGCGGGGTGCAGAAACCCGAAAGTCCGTAAATCCGCGGGTTTCTGGGTCGAGTTTCAATAGAAGGAACAGGAGCGGCTGCCGGGAGCCGTGTTGATCGAAGCTGTGTTGCCGGACGTCGTAGTCGCAGGACAATGCCCGGCCGGACCAGTCGCCAGTCTTCGAAGCTATCGGAGCCGAAGTTCAAGTCGGCTGTCTGCCGAAAGAGGATAGGAACGTCCGACACCAGGCAGCATGTGCGAGGGGCGGTCAATTCGGGGCGCAATTCCTTCACCGCTCCGTTGACAGGATCATGGCCTCTCCAATCGAAGCCCCAATCCACCACACGATGCAGAGCTCCATCCTTGAACTCCTCGAGGCGCCATTCCTAGCATCCCCGCTTAAAAGCGAATTCCTCCTCTGGCGTTGTGGCAGAGTGGTCTAATGCGCAAGACTAGAAATCTTGTTCCTTCGGGAGCGTCTGTTCGAATCAGGCCAACGTCGGGATATCCTTTTTGCCTGCTAGGACGACGGTCTTGTGCCCGAGGGACGCTCGTGTCTTGTTGGTTGAGTGAGGTAGATCCCGTGGACATGGAGAAAGTCGATAGTAGCAGATGCCGCGGTAGGACGGAATGCCGGCATTGTTCTACGACTCAATACTCTTCGTCTTCGTTGGAAACAAGTGTCAAGACGGCCGAGAATGAAATGTTGATAGATGGGAATTGGAAACTTCCATGTTTCCTTCGTACAACTTTTCCTTTTCGATTTTTCCGTACTATTACGGAGTACTTTCCCAAGGGACCAACTGCCACGATGCCACTGTGCCACTCTAGGTACGTACATTAGTGGGCCCAGTATGGATGAGTAGGCACCCGCCACAAAAGCACGAGCCAAGCAGATACGTACTCAGTGCTTCGCTCCCCCCACCAAGGAAGCTGACCCAGACGGAGTGACGAAACTTATCGCGATCAGTCGCGATTGGGGGCACTTTGCCCCTCCTCCCACCTTGAAGCTCGTCGGTCGCTTCTCCAAAAACTGCAACAACTTCCCACGACCTCTGTTTTTTCACCTTTCTCACTGTCTCGGAACTACTTCCGGGCTTACCAATCGTCCCTCCTCCGCCGACCAGATGCCGAAGAAACTCTCAAAGAACCCCCAAGGAGGGAGCACCACAAATCTCGGGACGCCCTCGACCTCAACGACGAATTCGACCTCCCTCTCCCTCCCTAGAATCCTGACCGACGAGCTCCCCCTTCCGAAACTCATCGTCTTTGACCTGGACTACACACTTTGGCCCTTCTGGGTCGATACCCACGTCTCAGGGCCATTGAAAGCCAACGCGACACACTCGGCAGTCACAGACCGCCACGGCGAGTCCTTCGCCTTCTACCAGGACGTGCCGCGGATACTCTACACTCTCTCACTAGCAGGTATCAAGATCGCAGTTGCGTCACGGACTTCGGCACCCGATTTAGCAAGGGACATGCTTAAGCTCCTGCACGTTCCGCCGCCGAGTGCCGAGGAAGGAGGGAGCGGCAAGAAAGAGAAGACGAAGAAGGCACTCGAGTGCTTTGACGCACCGTTGGAGATATACCCTAGCAGCAAGATAAGACATTTCGAGACGATATTCAAGAAAACGGGTATTCCATTTACAGACATGCTCTTCTTTGATGACGAGAGTCGAAATCGGGAGACGGAGAGCTTGGGGGTGACTATGCAGCTGGTCAGGGACGGTGTGACGTGGAACGAGATCGAGAAGGGTGTGGGGGAATGGCGCAAGAGGAGAGGCTACTCGGGATAGACGGGCCCTGTGCGACTTAGGCGGTGGACCGGTTTGGCACATAAAGGCGTTTGGCGGGTTGAATGATAGAGTTTGGTTCCTGTTGCACTTGCGCACTGGCTAGACCCGATAGATGGGATAGGGAGACGGGATGATTCAAACCTAGATCTACTTGATGTAGGGTCTTTGGGTAGATGGGACGGTACAACGCAATGATACCAAATGCTTTGTTATTAAATAGATGTCTGAATTAAATCGATGAATATGTAACTCCAGCCCATGTTGCCTTGCCCTGCCAGACCGACTCCATCACCATTGGGGGTATTAGATCAAACCACATCCAAATCACCGAGCAGATTGATACTGCCATATCAAATATGCAAACCCCAGTCTCAAAGTCACATGCTCCTTTACCACTAGTCTATGCCAGTCCTGACGGGGGCGTCGACGTGCTGCCCTCGACGTGCTTCTCTGCGATCTGCTTGTCATCGGCGATGTAAAGCTTCTGCATGCCAGCCTCCGGTGCATCAGCGGCCTTGACAGGCTCCTCGGTCTCCGGCCTCGGGGTGGTCTCTTCCGTCACGCTCCCTTCCTTGGTCGCAGGTGTTGCGATCGGCGTCGGTTCAGCGGCAGGCACCTCAGGCTTGGGCGGCCACGTCTTGGGGACGGAGCAGATCACCTCCTTCTGCTCGACGCCCTTCACGCTGCCGATTCCAATGCACTCAACGCGGGTGCCATCTTCGGTCCCACGCCAGATAGCAGGGCGTGACGTGAAGCGGTCGTGGCCAGGTGCCCACTCCACGATTCCCTCCCACGCGGGATCGACGGTTGGCTGGTCGCCAAACTTGAACTCGAGCTCGCCGCCGTACTGCTTGGGGATGTTGCGGGGTTCGATGAACTGCTCGAGTGTCGGGCGGACCTCGTGGGGGCTGAGGATGAAGATCTTGGAGACCGTAATAGGGTCGAACCAACGCTTGACCCAGGCCCAAACTGTTGAGAAGAATGCAGGGGCACCGATGATGAAGATGCCTAGTCACGACCTGTCAGTATAGTCGTGCGCTGGTGATGGATGTGTACTCACGATCGAGAGTCTCTGGATAATGCGCTGTTGCAAGCTGACTAGCAGCCTGCATGTGCCCCTTCAGATTCCAAAACTGCTTCAGACTGACCCCAGAAATATCAACGATATTCGTGCTCAGCGTAATGGGGGCCTCGCGGTGTTCACGGTCTCGTAACTGCGTTGACAGCGGCTGCGTGAAGCGGGTGAGGTTCTCATACAGCGCAAACAGGCGCATCATGCCCGCGGGAGTCTTGCCGTCAAACTTGGCCTTGCTAAAGGTCGATTCCTTCCCCAATTTCTCGTAGGTGGCAACCGTCTTGCTATCAAGCTTCTGGACCTCGAAGAGGTAGATGGGAATGCCGCGGCGGTCGCGACGGCCAAGCCATTGTGGGTAGAGGCGACGGGACTGCTCAAAGGCGTCGAGCTCGATGGTCTGGTAGAGGACGTCAATGTCGTTGGCAGCACGCCAGGCTTCCGTGTCCTTGAACTGCGTAAGAGCGTCTTCGGGGACCCATCTTCGGGCGCGAAGGTATCGGCTGCAAAAATAGGCGCGAAAAAGTCAGCAAAAATGTTCCTTCTGTCTGCTTCCGGGTGTTCCGGCGCAGTAAGGACTGCGGCTGAAAAAGAGGATCTTGCTGAATAACTCACAGCAGAGTCGGGTCGTCGTGGGAAGCTGGCGGGCCTGGCTTGTACAGCCCCTTCTCCTCGAGCAGCGTTCTGAAGGCGGCGAGCTGTGTCTCCTCGTGTTCGTTGAGGTGACCAAGGTGGCCGTGAGGATACCCAACGTCAGACACCGTGGATGCGTGGGACTTAACCCTGGTCGCGGGGTCAGAAGCTGCGGTATCGGTCGTCATTGTGTGTGTGAAGTACTGTAATATCTGGTGTCGGTTTCGCAGATAGGAACAAGTGATGTGTTACAAAGAACGCAGTCCTCGTTGCATGCGCACTTTTTCCAATTTGAAGAACTTCTACTCGTCAGCGAAACGGTGCGAGGTCGCTCGGAGGAAGGGTCTGGAGCGTCAGCCCGGCATGACGGGCGGACAGCGGCATGGGGTGGGCACGCGGGCACGCGGGATCCATCCATAACCCATCTGGATCCAGTGTGCCAGTCCATCTCCCTTTGATGTGGTAATCGACCTTGGAGTGAGCGGGAGAATCTTGCGTGCGGCGTGCCTGGTGCAGCCTGCAGCTTTCTCAACCAACCCCTGTGACCAATCCTTGTCACCTGTCGGCTTACCTTATCATCCGCCGCCTCCGGCTCCGTCAATCCGACGATCCCGGCCATCGGACGGACTTTTTTTCCCTTGTCTGTACGTATAGAGTGTCTTACGTCATGTAGTAGAACCGTTCGACCTCGAATTTTTCGCATTTTGTATCCCTTCAGAAATACCATCATTTCGACAACGCGACTGAACAACAAGCCTTGATGCCGCCGTCGCCTGCTTGAATCTGAAAGAACTGGCAGGGTCCCTCAACAATTTCTCCCTCGCTGCCTCGCATCATGCAGGCGCCCCATCGGGCCGCCAGCCTTAGGGCCTTAGTGCTCATCGCACCGCATCCTTTGGCGTGTCGCTAGCCAATAAGACGAAACTGAATGGCCAAGGCCTGCGAGTCATGGTGGAGGCGGAACTTCAAACAAACGACGGCTTTGAGGGAACCAAACATCCATTACGTTCACCAAGAACCAAGGTAAGACAGCAAACGCGATGTTGCTGTGTTACCGGTGAATTCAATCAAGGTTGTCCTTTGTTCACTCGGCAGCTGCGCAAACACACCGCCCTCTGTTTTCTAACAAAGGACACAATCCCAGGTGTGATTTCTGGGGCAAGTTCATATGCGTGGAGGCTTGATCCTGCGATTCAAGATTGCAAATGTTTCTGTTCAACCAATTACATCTGTCTATGGTGAATCCACTTCACCTAATCTGGCAACCTCCTGAGATCAAGTCTCGGGTTGACTCAGCGGGTTCCGAGGATACGCGGACGGCATCGTGAGCGGCGCGATCCGAGAACATGGCGTTCAAGTTTACTCCTCATACGTGGCCTCCGCCTAAGATGCCAAAGACACTCGATTTCTTCTATCCCAGTCATCATTCAATTACTCTGGCGTCAGCTTACTCACTAGGTATACATGACAGATGGGTGTCAGAGATGCCCATTGCCGGCTAGAAGTGAATACTCCTTGAGGCTTAGACCATGGACATGTATATTTTATTAAATCATTTAACAACTAGCCTGTCCTTTCGTCGTGTTCCACACATTTGGATGTGGGCCGTTCTAGATATGGCCATTAGACCTGTGGTCTGACAACTGAAGAAATTCAGCACCAGCAACTTTCTTAAATACCAAATTGACCTCAGCTTCCCATAGCCAGTTCGCCAGTCCTGCTAAGTCGAATCGTGATTGGCGGCGACCCAAAGACGTAGCGCTCGTGAAATTGCCCATCTCTTCCATATCTTATGCATGCATACATGGCGACGTGAATCCGATGAAAAGTGCTATATACTTACCATTATGAGTAGAATCAAAGGTCGAGCTATCGTCTTCTTACTTTAGAAAGTACGAGCGATGATCTGTAATTAAGCATATCCAGAACATGAAAGATTCATAGCACTGCCGTGCTACTCAGAGTCGCATAAATAGTCATTAAACAATATTTTGCCAGTCACCACTCGCCCTTTCTAGCGCCGGTGTATTCGTCCCTGTAATACTCTGAACAGCCGTGGGATACTAGCATGTGTTTAGGTTGAGGCCCTTAAATAGTTTTTCAAAACGAGTACTCTTAACTAACCCCCCTGTCCAGTCTGCCCTCTTATCCTTGTCCATTGCGCCGGTTGCATGTGGGCTCTTCTAAAGATGACCATCAGGCCTGTTGCCGTGATGATTACTTCCTGCGCCAGAGCCTCTCTTAAATACTCCTCTATGCTTAGCTTACTCTACCAGTGGGTGTGAAAAGACCACCATCGGAGGCGCTAGCCGTTAACGACGTAAACTTCGTGTATCTTAACATTGTTGGATTTGGGAGGATAGTGGGTGCTTTCGAACTGCAAGCGATCTTACCAGCGCTCGGGAAGCTCATGGAGGGAGAGTGGTGTTCTCGAGAGACTGTCTGAGTCCTTGGGGCCTTCGCCGGTGGGAACAAGAAGAGGCAAAGCAACTAGAGGGATTTCAGCAAGCATCATATTTTCTCTGCGTTTGTCGTCTGTGTCCAGGGAAAGGGAAATTGGCGATGTATTAGTTGTGAGGGCCTTCAGTGTAAGTTCTTGCCGTATGCAACGTATACAATCTCCGATTGGTCTAGCCCTGAGCCCTCAAGTCCCTTATGATCCTATCTTCGTGACTCAAAAACCTTGGGCCCCAGCTTGTAGTGGGTCTCTCGGGCTTACTTTGAGGCTTGATATGGTTCCATTCTCCTGACCTATGCGTCTAACCTTTCATTCTAGGTGGATGGCCTCAACGCCAGTTTCGCTTTAGAGGCATCGCTGATATGGTTCTGGAACGTTCATCGCGGATCATGGATCACCAAAGTATACACAAGGATGTGGATAGAGGTTTGAGGGATTGATCAGATGTTGTGGGATTGATCATAATGAGGATTAAAGCGGCTGTGTTGATACTTGGCACTACTTAGTCAATTCATGAGTAGTCAAACTTTCAAAAAAAAAAAAAAAAAAAAAAAAAAGAACAGCAGACTGCTATTCTGCGCTACCACATGAGCTGATTCGTTTTTGTGAATTGTGAGAGTGACCTACAGTACTTAAGCGACGGAAAAGAGAAAGAAGAATAGAATTTCTCAACAGTGTGAGAACCATTTTTGGGCATCAACATGGTCAGATGAGGTCTTGATTGCTAGAGCGACTATGTTATAGATTTGGTGGCTTTTAGACTGTTGATTGATACGAAATGTTGACTCTGGCTATGAATGGCTCAGGTCTTCCCAGATGAGTCAGATCCAAGCTGACTATTGTAGGCTTGCTCCTCTACAGCACGAATGCTTCTCACACGAGGTGACGAGGCAGAAAGTCCCTGAACAGCTTATCGAGATTTTGGATGGCTGTTGGCATTGATTCCTTGTCAACCCACTCTCTGAAAGTGGGTGACGGCAGTATCACCAGGTCCCGAAAGTGTTTGAGTGCAATCTGATTCGATAAGGCCACTCGAAGTGGCTGCAGGGATTCGTCCGGCTCGTTAAAGATGAGCTCGAGCTCCCGCCTACCATCGGCGTTGTCACCATCAGCACTGAGCAAGCCACAGTAATCCTCCGTTCGAGGATAGTCGATGATGCAGTTAATCTGAACAGTTCCGATGCTGAGTACTAAGGATCTCAGAGTGGATTGTGACCAGTGTAGGCATCCCCATGACTCCAAGTACTCCATGTAACCAAAGACCTTGTTCGTGAAGGCGCTGCCTTCTTCAAAGTATTGAAAATTTCGGTATAACTTGCGGAGGAAAAACTGTATCGGTGTTCGCGTGCCCTCCCAGGTCCAGACCTTTGTCGAGTCGACATCATGAAGAAGGAGCCAATCCACCTTGGCCTCGAAAAGAGCCGGTATCTCCTCGTTCAAAGCATTGTGCCAGGCTTTCCCAGCAACCTGCGGCGTAGATTTGCAGCTAACACTCGCATCATTGTTGAAGAGAAATCCCATCAGTTCGATGGAGTGCCCATCCGCATTTGCAGCTTCGGCAAGTGCCATGTCAAGTTCCCTCGCGTGGATCGGATCATGTTTTGGAATCTGAATCTCGAGTTTTTCCAAAATCCTCTTCATGACTTTTCTCTTGCATTCCCAAAACTCTTTCTCGGAGGCGTAGGGAGCGCACCCCTTGTACCAGAACGTCATGTGGTATCGACTTCTGGCTGCGAGGGCGAGAGATCCGAGTCCCGTTGCATCATGAGCCTCCAGCCACTCCCTTGTCTCAGGAAATTCTGAGCGAACTATAACATCGTCGCTTAAGACGATCTCCGCCCCGTTGTTGATAAGGGCGTCGGCAGCTTTGACGTGACCTCCCAGGAGGGCGTCGTGGAGGCAGCTGTCGAGATAGTGTTGGGGTGCAGCCCATTTCGGCTTGACTTGAGAGTGAAGAATCGGCTCGAGTATATCACCTTGGTCGTTCCGCACCAATTGCTGGAGGACAGTATAGTCCTGAAGAGCTTTGCGGTGCAAGAAAGGTTCCGCAAGTTTCGATAGGCGGCGACACGTAAGCTTGAGATTACGAAGGTACGAATAACCATAGTTTAAACAAGAGACAATTTGCGAGAGAATTTCAGGTGGTAAAGTTTGAAAGCTGGTCATCTTGAGATATAAGGTTTTGTTCTGTATGATAAGGGATACGAAGTAGGTAATGAACAAATAATTTTATACGGAACAGGCTTTTTGCTCTCGTGAGGAGCCATCATCATAGAGTAGATGCGGACAGCTTTATCTACGAATTTGTGATTTCCAAGTAGGACTCGGCGCTGACGAATGATCAAGTCTTCGACTTTTACCATGTTCGCGATGAACAAAGAAGCTATTCACGACGAAGTTTACCGCAACTTGAACAGTTTCTTTGTCGGGCCGGCCACAGGTACGTTGCCAGGTTTTAAGTGGGACCGCTTTCTTTGCTCCAACGACCTGGAAACACCACCACGACGCACATGCGGAGACCATCCATCTAAACGCAATCAAACTCTTTGAAAGCTTGACATGCAGTGGAACTTTATGCAGGAAAACGCGGTCACATTCATCGTCGTATTACACGTCAACAGGTCGCCGTTTCACAAGTTTGCAGCACCTCGACCGTAGATGTCGTCCAAGACAAATTACATCCCACAGTCCCCTATTCCTCCATTTGGCATGCACTGAATGCGACAGAGAGTAGCAGACTGGAAGCCTAGCTACCTCTCAAACACGTACCTCTTCAAGCTGAGGCCCGAGAGGCGGGGACGTTCACTGGACGATTTATCGCTTGTAGACTGCTACTCATATGTCTGTTGAGTGACCTAGCGCTTGCGCTTGCGGTCTATTTGGCTTGTTGAAGAACTTCGAAGGTGAGGAAAGGTCGAATAATCTTGGCTAGCCACAAAATCGCAATAAAGGCAAGTTTGACGGGCAGAGACTTGCTTCCTACGATTGCTCTCGTAAAGATGTGGTAAGAAGGTCGGAACCTGACCTTCCTCCACGTAAGGGATTGAAATGAACGTACCGGGACGCTCTATCTCCGCAGCCAGCGGTCTGGCGGGCTAAAGGCTTGTCAAAGTGAGCATTCTGTGAGGACCCGCGGTCTGACGGCCAAGTGACACTGTGACTGTCGAAGAGCTCTCTCGGCATTGATGAGGTACTTGGCGGAAAGACGTGGCGAAATTGAAAATCTCCACGGCGAGCCCTGGCGGAAGGAGTCGGGCGTTGGCGTATTAAACCACCATTTTCTCAGCGGCCAGTAACCTGGCTGCTGGGAGCTTTCCGGGTTTCTTTTGGGGCGGCGGAAGGACGTAGTCGTGGAGCTCTTAACAATTGAACAAAGTAACTGACGCTACGAGTCTGACAAAAGAGAGGGCCAGTTTTGATTTTTCCACAATGGGCCAGGGAGAAGCAGGCAATCGAGGCACCTTCTCTCGCTTTGGTCTGAGGTGGCCAACTGGTCGTCGACTAGCCGTGGCAGCCGAGGGCTTATCCAGGTGACCTGGATAGGCATTGGTAGAAGCAGCGCCGGCAAGAAGAGGTACATCTCTCACAAGTGTCTGCTTGGTCCACAGGTCGTCGTCATCGGCCAACTCAGCGAAAGAGAGATGAGGTAGGTAGCGCAAAATCGAACCTGTCTCAGTCTTTCGGAAGTCACCCAGACGGAACGGATCTGATGGGCCGGATGGAGATCGCTATTCGTCCGTCACTGGTTCTTCTCTTGATCGTGTCCAAACTGGACGGACAAAGAAGGCTTTTGAACAATGGTCAGTGTAGCAATTCGCGCCAATGGGATCACGAAGCCTTTCGGTTGGCGAAAGTTCAGGAGCATATTTGAGCCTGCGTAAGAGGGATGCGGAAGAAGGAGAATGAAACTCGAGATCCCCCCGAAAGGTGGAGGGCCACCTGGACGTCCTATCGAGCCCGACAATTTGACGAAAAACGCCTTGGAGGATGAAATGAGAAACCTACGCGCAAACCAGAGAATCCCCCATCGGATTGCTCATCAATCTTTACGCCTCTACATACCCCTCGGTTATAGGTAGGCCCACTTACCTTATAAATCGTCCCTTACTTACTCAAGGACAAAACCTATAATATCGGTTTTATCTATAATTATTACGACCCAATTGTAAGGGGCTGGCCCCTAGGCTTGTTCAACGTAGAGGTGCCGTCGATTGACTATTCTAAGCTGAGGCGGAAAAGAAGGGATTACAGGGGTGTTACGGCCAGCTAGTCGTAGGGGTAGTTTGCAGAAGTTGAGGCTGCGGAACTGGTAACAGTAATCGTAGTCGTGGAATAGTTTCAAGGAAACTATGTCTGTCAATCGCAAGGGTAGGTAAGGCTTCGGTGATCAATCGTAGTCTTGTCAAGGTAGTAGCTGAAAGCGGATGTTAATCCTGATACGAAGTTAATTGCTGAAGAAGCTATGGGAAGTCTGTCCTAGAGCCCGGCTCGAGTCCATCCTATATACAAGTCCTGATCCTGAACATATCCTTTGTTGCCTGATCACCATGTTCGTTGGTGATCACTAAGTGGATACTGGTGAGCGCTCACTTTGGGTGAACACTGTGATCACCTTATCGTGTGCTCACTTTCCTTATCGTCACGTGACTTGTTCCATAGTTCTTCCGTTCCATGAGGAGTCACCTGAGTTCCCGGATTCTCTGCGTATATCAGGTAGATAGCCGCCGCAGGCCTGTGGGGCGGGCCCCCTGGCCTTGTTATGCATGTTGGGTTGTAACAAGGGGTTCGCGTACAGCTATGGCATGATATGCCCGGACTCGGCGGTGTACTGCGGCAGAATGGTGGCTCCGGCAAAGCCGGAGATCTCAACCGGGCTCCAGCCCGTGACAGCAATATACATAGTTAAGTTCATGCCTGCCCGGCAGGCCATAGCGGCTATAACGCACCATATATACAAATAAAGCAGGAACACCAGTAACTTTCTATAAAATATAAGAACTAGTTATAACGTGGTTTACCAGTCAGCCGCGCATTTCCTTATCGTATACTAAGTCGCCTACATTATATAATTAATATCTTTTTCATTGTTGGTTATATAACGTTAAAATTTTTTCATTAGTCTTTGATAAGAGTTACCAAACTAAATAAAAAGTTTTAAAAATTAATTTCTATTTAGAGATAGTTAACTAATTATAGTAAAGTATATTTACAAAGGTTAAGGCTACGGAACTAATAACAATAATAACCAAATATAATAACCAGATATAATAACGTACATACATAGCGAGTCGCCCATCATAGCGAGTCGCCCACTTTCCTTTTCTTCTTTACCTTCCATCTTAATAACCATTTTTCTTTACGTACGATAATGAGTTCTTCTTTAAATAAAATTCGCATTATCCTTGCACTTCAAGCAATTAAAAAAGACCCAAAACTATCTATACAAGAAACAGCCTTTATTTACAACGCCCTAAGAACAATACTTTACGACCGACGCGCTAGCTTATTACCTCGATATAAAACTCATATAAATTCAAAGAAAATGACTTCAATAGAAGAAACCGTGATTCTTAAACGAGTTATTAACCTAATCGATCGAGGATTTCTACCGCGACTTAACAATATACGAGATATAGCCGATTGCCTCATTAACAAACGCAACGTAACGCATGTCGGACCGCAATAGGCAAAGAACTTCGTACGACGCCAACCATAACTAAAGACGCATTTTCGACGTAAAATTAACTATCAGAGGGCATTAGCTAAGGATCCTATAATTATACAAACCTGGTTTGCCCTCGTACAAAACACGATTATAAAGTACAGAATACATAATAATAAAATCTATAATTTTGATAAGACGGGCTTCTTAATAGGAATATTATATTACATAAAGGTTATTATAATCTCTAATCATTATAAGAGGTCTCGTACGAAGTAGCTTAATAACTGTAAATAGGTTTCTATTATTTAGGGTATATATGCGGATAGCTAGGCGCGACCTCTGTACATCATTATTAAGGGTAAATACCACCTTCTCTCGTAGTATACTAATGGCCAATTTCCCCCCAAATAGCGTATCTACCTTAATAAAAATAGATAGACTATAAATAAAATTAGCCTAGATTAGCTAGAGCACTTTAAAAAATATATAGAGTTTCGTACGAAGGGTATTAAGCGGCTCCTGATCCTTAATAGCCATAATAGCCACAAATCGACCAAATTCGACGATTACTACAAGGAGCACGGCATTATTACTCTTTACATACCTCTCCATTTATTGCACAAACTTCAGCCTCTTAATATTAGCTATTTTGGTCCGCTAAAGGCTTCGTACGGCAAGGAAATCGAGAAGATAATAGGGATGCAGATTACGCATATTACCAAGGACGACTTCTTTCCTACCTTCAAAGCAGCCTTTTTTACTTCAATAAGTAAAGGAAACGTACGAGCTGGTTTTAGAAAGGCTGGCCTTGTACCCTTTAACTCAGAAGTAGTTGTTTCCCGCCTTGATTTTAAGCCAAAGACGCCAACACCATCCAACTCACGCCCAAGCAGCCAGGGCTCCTGGGACCCAAAGACACCAACCACAGCACATAACACCGTACAAAGCTCTAATTCACTTAAGAAAAGAATTCATAACCATCAACATAGCTCACTAACACATTTATACAAAGTTATTGACTTATAAGCCAAAGGTATTAACAAGTTAGCATATAAACTAGCTCTTATTAAAGCTAAGTGCCGCGGGCTTCGTACGGCAAATAAGGTACTAAGTAAGCGCCGGAGGGCTAAAAAAACCTAACTACGTCTTAGAGGGTCACTTAATATAACTAAGGCCAAGGTAATTCGGGCAGAGAAGGGGGTTATTAATACTAGAGGCGAAAATATACATTAAGAAGATACTCGTACAGAGGGGGGTGAATCGCGCGGGCAGCAATATAATAACTACGGAAAGACTAGACATAACGTACGAACATATTAGGTAGTTTAGGAGACCTCTAAAGAAGAGGCTAATGAGTAGTTCCAATTGATTTCGTACGATGCGGCTTAATTGACTTACACAAAGGGCTGGAGGGTATTTGAAAGTGGGCGACTCGCTATGATGGGCGACTCGCTATGCATGTACGTTAGTTAAATATAATAATCAGATAATTATTACATATAGTCCAGTAGTCTCAGGTTCGTTATATTTATAAGGTAAGTAAGGCTTCGGTAATTAATTATAATCTTATTAAAGAGGTTCTTAGGGAAGATAGCTAAAAGCAATCATAAGATCTAATACGAAGTTAATTATTATAAAGCTATAAGAAGTCTATCCTACAGCCCGGCTCGAGTCTTTCCAATATGTGTCCTGATCCTATCTAAATATATCTTTTATAATTAGGACCGATATTACCGTATCGGTCCTTTAGGGATGGACCGCTTTTATCCTATCGGTCCTTCTTATCATCACGTAACTTATCCATAGTTCTTCCGTTCCATGAGGAGTCACCTGAGTTCCCGGGTTCTCTGCATATATCTGGTAGATAGCCGCCGCAGGCCTGCGGGGCGGGCCCCCTGGCCTTGTTATGCATGTTGGGTCGTAACACGTAGATCATTTCTCAGTACTCGCCTTTTATAACTGCAAGCGCTTCAACCCTCTCAATAAACACATAATTATGGAGGAAACAGCATTAAGGAGTACCTGAACTCAGCATGGTATGTCATATGATAGGTAAATAATGGACAGCCCAAGGTTCCTGGGTTCGGCGAGCATTGCACCTTAAGGTAAGGTACCTTCCATGATTTGGGTAACCAGTCGGCATGTTTCCAATGGGGAAGGCGGTGGAAATTCGGTTGAAGCACCTGACCAATCACAGTAGCTCATTTCAACAGCCGACGTACCTGCCTCATCACAGGTGCTTAGATACCTCGCCTTCGGTCACTCTGCAATGCCCGGGAAGGACAACGGGCTCATGGCTCCTTCCTCTCTCTGTTACCTTCTGGATTCGACACTGTCACCAAGTCGACCCTTTTCCCGAACCAAGCGCTCGGCACCTCTTTGGAAGTCGGGGGTCCAAGGTCCAGAAGCGTGGGCAGCATACCTCAGGGAAGGGAGGCGTCATTTCATCACTTCCCGGGCAGCAATGTATACCTTAGACTGCCACCGCCCTTCCAGGGATTGATGCTCCAATGCAGCACAACGCAATTTCTCCGTTGATTTGGCGGACGTCTTCCTCTTGGATTACTTTACTACCTTACGGACATTATATCAACCCTCGACCGGGTAAGGCAGTCGCCCATGGACCACGTAAGCCCGATTCCCGGGCTGATCACAGGGCGCTTTCTTGACGTACCTTACCTACCTTACTCAAGGTAAGGTAGGTACCCAGAAGGAGCACGTATCCGAGATCTAAGACATTGAAGCAACAGCTGCCGAGGGTGCTTGCCTTTTCCGTTCATTCCACTTCACACGTAAAGCGCCTGCCTCCATTAAACTACCTAGGTACTTTAGCTTCCAAGGACCATTGGACCCTCTGTGATACTGTCCCCCCCTGTCCCTTCCGTTGACAGTTTCTTGAAGACTGGCAGAAAGGCCAACCATAAGGAGGGAAAGAACGACGTTGGCGGCTAAGGTAAGGTAGACTCAGAAGATTAAGAGACGGCAGGACGACTGATAAATCAAGAGCAGATACCTTATCAGTTCTCTTTCCACCTCTTGATCACCTCAGGACCGAACCTGGACCTGTGGCCTTCACAGAACTTTCAGCGGGACAAAGAGCGAGAGTTCAGAAAAGGACCTTTGCACATGGGGACCTAACTACTTGTTGATTTGACAGGCACAGCCAAGGACACAAACCGCCAAAGATCATGAAATGTGTGTCTAATACATAAGGGATTCTTGCCTGACAGTCTTCGTGTCCTGCATCCTGGCACCAGCAATCCCCCAATCTCTCGGATGCGTGAAGAACATGATTTCTATCTCCCCTGCCTTCCCACTTCGTGGATGAGGGCATTGATGATGATTGATAGCTGTTGCAATTCCTTTCATGGCGTACTTCCTTCCTACATTGGAACGCTGCTTGAGTGTGGACGTGCCTTCCGTCCCTCGCTATGTCGTACCTTCCCTCGCTGTCCCTTCCACTCGTGTCGTCATTGTGGTGCCTTCATGCCTGACGAGCCAGCTGACTTTTGAGAAGGAGGAAGGCACGACAGCTCCAGATCAGGTCAGAGAAGGAAGGAGGCCCGGAAAATCTCTCTCGTGGGCGTCGTACTTAATCCTCTTCTCGCCCCGCCCCCCTCTTCTCAACTTCTTCTCTTCTTCGGACCACGAGCTTTGTTGTATGTTGACCCCAAAGGATGATTTTTTCGATCCAACTTCGCTAACTTGACTACAGGATATTCAGCTGAACTGCCTCTTCGCTTTTGTTTCATCGGCTCTGTCTTTCCATCCAAAATCTGCCACCTTGACGCCGCCGCCGCCATCATGAACGCCCTCGAGCGCTCCGCCACCGCCGCCGCCTGGGTGGTTGCCGTCGGTCTCGCCCTCGTCAACGCCGCCTTTACGTGGAGTTCGTCCTGGATCCCGGTGTTGTTGGTTTTTGACTTTGCCGCGACCACTTGGTGGGTCTCTCATTCTTTGGGTTCGTCTCATGTCATCCCCTCATATCATCCGTTGTTTACTGACCCAATCTAAGCGACCATGTACTTCATCCCCGCCCTCCGAGATCAGCCAGCCTGGGCTGTTACGGTTCCGATCTCCCGCGACCTTGCCACCGCCTGCGCCCTCATGGGCATCTTCGTCTTCGTCCTCACCAACTCGGCCGGATGCCTCGTCTCCCTCTGGTGGTATTCGTACCGCATTATACGGAGAGGATATCGGATCCCGAGAGGCGCCATCACCCGCCGAAAGACGGTGATGCAAGCCCTGCCCGACGCCGCCGCCGCTCGCCACTGGTTCGACCTGGGGTTCCGACCCAACCTCTGCCGCCACTGCCTCCGGACCGCCGACTTGGAAGGTAGGGAGGGCCCTGGGTCGTTCCTGGACCGGATGTACCACGGCAAGACGAACAAGGGGGTGGACTTGGGGTGCATTGCGCTCTTTGACCACTACGTAAGTCATCTCATGTTTCCCTCGTGGTGGCAGGACTCGGCTAATGATTTTGATCTACGGAGTAGTGCTGGTGGCTTTGGTGTCCCGTCTCCTTGGAGACGCAGAAGAGTTACCTGCTCTTCACCGTCTGGGTTTTGGTGTTTCACCTTTACTCTTTGGGGGTTCTCTGCTGGCCAATGGCTTCCTTTGGAACCAGGTGGTCACTGCCCCCAGTTGTCGTGGCTGCCGGATCTCTCCCCTTTGTTATTCTGTGGGTGAAGAAGGCGCCATTCCGGGATCAATGGGTTAACCAGGGACTTCGGAACCAGACGCACAAAGAGACGACGGCGTACATCCGGAACCTCCCCCAGCAGGCTTGGCCGATGGGGATTGCCGGGTCTAACGGCCTGGAGCATGTGACGGTTGGATTTAACCCGTGGGATCTCGGCGCAATGGGAAACCTCCGCGCGGTGCTAGGCGACAACATCTGGGAGTGGCCTTTCTTCTGGCGTACCCCTCGCCGGGTGCGGGAATTCGGTGCTCACCCCGACTGGGATCTCCCTTTCGGACCTCGGTGGGACCAATTCATGGAAGATCGTGCTCTGGTTTTACCGGATGGCATTAGCCTCACTCTCCCCCCTCCCGCCCTCCGAAACGACAGTTCGCGGCGCCGACGCGGCTGGACGTCGGAGGATTAGGCTGGCCGGGGGCCGGCGACTTGAGGTCGGTTACTCGCCTCGTCACGCCCTGGCACACGGCTGGTGGGCGGTTACGCGCCCCGCTGTGACGGCTTGAGGTCGGATTTACTCGCCTCGCCCAGTCTACTCTCGACAAGATATGCTGCCTGCCGTGCATACAGGCTTTCTTGTTCGACCTGATCGGGACTGATGACCCCGACAGGTTTCGCCCACCCACTCGAAATTTCGTTTGGGCTTCGGAGGAAGACAAGCTCCTTAACAAATAAGGCCGACAATGTCGCACCTTCACGCTGGTGTCGGCTGTCAGTAGTCGAAATTGCGATCGGGCAATCGAAGACGACGAAGCTAACGCGACGGCTGGTTGCTGTTCTGATCGTGTCATTGGAACTCAATCTGCCACCCCTGGGTATCTCAAACTCTCGACAAGTCACACTCTCACTCTCACTCTCAACCTCAACTTCAACAAACACACATTGTGACTTCGAACTCTTGCCTACCATCAAACACACGCCAGGCATTGTTCACCCCAGGGTTCCTTGCAGTCTCAACACTCTACACTCATCTCAACACACCGGACCCATTGCACATTCACCATACCATCTGCAATGTGGCTTCGATACAGGAAGCTTGCACAACTACCTGCTCGAGACTGCAATCAACAGAGGCTCATCACCTCGGTCATCAATCTCGGCGAATATCCACACCTAGCCTTGAGGTTCGACCATTACTGTTCAACAACATTCTCTTTCGACAGTGTCTTCACAAGACTCTTGACACAACTCGATTCTTCCGACACAATCATGCACATCGGATGATACATCAGTCCATCGAGACATCAGTTGAACGACACATCAGTCGAACGACACATCGGTTGAACACCACATCTATTGAACAACACAGAACACACCAGTCGAACGACATCGACAGCATCTTCGCTTCTCTATCATCAAGATTCCTGGACTTCAGTCCAGATCGGCACATGTATGGTTCCTTGTTTACCAACGACCCACCTTGATCCATCACTGGTCAAGCTTGGCTTTCACCCATACACTCTGACCTTCCTCCCAGAATGTTTCTGGGCAGCAGAAACTTGACCGTCGGTCCTCATCCCATTCTCACGAATCGTGGACCTTTGGTTGACCCTTCGACATTCTTCAGACGTAACATTCCTGAGACGTATCATTCACAAATCACGTCTCTCAACCGAAGACTCTCGTTTCTGGGGCAGCAGAAACTCGGCAAACTGTTTTCACTCGGCAGTTCTTACATCTTTGATTCCAAACTCTTGGCTCTCGATTCACTTCATGTTTCTTGGGCCACAAATACTCGGCATTACACTCTCAACCAGCTCCTTTGTCTCATTCGACTTTTGATCTTGGTTTAGTGTTCCTGGAGCAGCAGGAACACGTCACACTTCTTTCACCAACACTCTTGGTTCATGATCCAACTTTCAGCTTTCATGCGATCAATCATCGACCTTTCTTTTCTCTCATGTTCCTGGGGGGCAGCAGGAATATACAGCACTTCTCTCTTATCAACACTCTTGGCTCGCAATTTGGCATTTGCGAACTCAACTTTCATCTCTCATCTTGTTTCTGGGGCAGCAGAAACGCGTCACTTCACTTTGACGCATCACTCCATTCTGGGTCATCACTATATTCCCTTCATTTCAGGTTCCTTGGGCGGAGGAACTCGACAACTCACATACCTTTCTTCTACTCTTCAGGCAAACCATGCCTTAATTCCACGTTTCTGGGGCAGCAGAAACTCGGCAACTCATTGTATTCAACACCTTTGAATTCTACATCACTTTCCTCTGGCGGGAGGAAATCAACTTTTTACACCTCTTACTCTGGCCATTCTTGGCTTTCCTTTATGTTTCTGGGGCAGCAGAAACTCGGCACTTCACTCCGAGTCGACAATTCAACCCGACTCGACTTTCACGTCATGTTCCTGGTTATCGGGAGCTTGACACACAAATATCCTTCGACTTCTTTGGCACTATCTTGTCTTCACTTCACGTTTCTTGGGCAGCAGAAACTCAACACCTCACCTGGTTCAACACCTCTGAACTTCACTTCACTTTCCTCTGGCGGGAGGAAAGCAATACGTCGCACGGCACTCTCTCAAATTTCGATACTTTTCACATCAACCCGGCATTTCTGGGGCAGCAGAAATCCTGATACTTGACTTCAATCTCTTGGCCACCTGAGCTCGGCACTCCACACGTCGATCACTTTGTATGGAAATCTCCCTTTTCCTCTTGTCTTCTTCTGGGGCAGCAGAAGTAAGACGAGTCTTTTGTTTCAATACATTTGACTCTTCACTCCTTGTTCCTCTGGCAACAGAAACGCAACAACACACATTCTTTTCTATGGCACTTACCTATTTGCTCCGAGGTAACCTTACATAAATACGTCATCTCTGATTCATCTCATTCTCCTGGCCACAAGAGCTCGGCACTCATTCTTCAACTTGCTTCTGAGGTAGCAGAAGCTCAACGCCCAACAACTCTTCGACTTTTCTTTTTGACACTACCGAGCGTACCTCTAATTGCGTTTCCGGAACAGCAGAGACGATACACAAACCACTTATCTAACTTTTTGGTATTGCTCTTTGAGCTTTGCACCTGCCTCTTGGAGACGGTCTCGTTCACTGACTCTCGACGACCGTCTTCGGGGCCCACGGCGGAAATTCCCCGGCCCTCATTCGACAAATCAACACTCATCAACGTCCCTCGTTCTTTCTGATGCTACCTCACCACTTGAAACTCTTCGCACCAGAGACGCTTACCGGCATTTGAGAGCGGGTCCAAGCTTGCGCCAAGCTGAGAAGTATTCTTCACAGCGCACTTCTTGCAAGGATACTTGAGCGCCCCCCCCCATTCTCTCCAGAACACGAGGCGATTCACCCCGGCTGGGCGGTTCGTTTGTCTTTTCCACGCATCCAAGTCGCGTATGATCGGGCGGCTGAAGCATGCGGCCCACCCGTGCCCACTCAAAGGCTTGTGCTCTCGTGATGATCCAACGTTACAGCTGCTGATCAGCACAGGTACTAGGACGACACACCCCGCAGCGCTGTTGCCTTGCTAATCCAGTTACCTTGGACTTGTAGACTGGAAGAGCAAAGCTGCAATCGACCGATCAGCGCTATGGATCTTGGTACTGGATCGAAGGCGAGTACGTCATGTCACGATTCATATGCCATACGTGACAAATACTGATGTTCTGGCACAGGAGACTACGGATCCACTGATCTGCAAGCCAACAAGTATTTCGGCTTCTGCTCGTGATATGGTTTGGGATCGCTGACTGGTGGTTCAGGTTCTTAACCTTTCCTGCGTCCACAAAGATGTCGAGGCACCAGCTGAATCCAGCGGGCCCACAGAAGGCGCGAAGATGCAACACAACATCAGATATCCACTAGTGACCGCAGGGTATGTCTCACTTCAATCACTCGATGCTACAGCTTGACCACTAACCAGGACTCTCCATTCAGTTCCCATACAATCGCCAAGCCCATACAGACTGGAGTTCTTGAGGATAGAGAGATGCTTTGGCGTGACGATATCGCGTGCGGCTGTGGAAAGCGACAGGGTCGCTTCAATGTGATGGGAGTCAATATTACATACAGGATTGCCTGGAGGGCGAGGGGGGCAAGGGGAGGGTAAGGGGAGATGGTTGGGGGATAGGACACATCGCAAGGCATACCAGAGCCTACAATCATTGAGAAGGCATTCAGATTTGGACACATGTACTTGCAGTCGGTGAGAGACACCCTGCCTTGGGATGACTCGGTGAGCTTGAGTGAACTCAGCCAGCCGTCGTACATTCATACCCAGAATCAACATCGCGATGCTCCAATCCCAAGCTATGGAGAGTGAAGTCAAGGCCGTAACCATCGAAAGTTCTCAGTCGAATGAATGCACCATATCCCGAGTTTTGTTCGGTTACATAAGGTAGATGTTCGTGATTCATTGCGGTGTCAGGCAAATGATGCTGATCCTTACACCCGCTTCTCCAAACAACACGGGCTCTCAAGCTACTTGTTGTGCCATGGCGAAACAGGTGAATAATTCTAGGAACAAGATAGCGTTGAGTTAAATCTATGATTTGAGACGTGAACCTTCATGCTTTCGCGTTGTTTCCCAAGGTCGTAGCCCTCAGGGTTGTAGGTACTCAAAGTTCAACGACGTGTTGGGACTCACGGCGACCCCAGAGTTGCGGGTATTTGGTCAGGGCGCACAGCAAGATCTCCGAAAGCCATAAAAATTTCAGGCTTTCCCACTTCAAAATGATTACTTGGATGTTAGGCAGTTCACCCACAGACGAAATTCGTACTTCTATGTCTTCTGCCCGATTTCTCTCCAGGACAGCAACAACCCACCAAGCACACATCTCAGCACCAAACAAACCACCACAGTCCCCTCTACCAAAACCACTATTCAATCAACAGCCAAAATGAAGTTCACAGCTATTCTTCTTGTCGTAATGCCTCTTGTTGCCGCAGGCGGAGGCCCCAAGGACCCAGATGGTCTCCCGAGAATACGACTTCCCCTTCACGAACTGCCCGAGAGTAATTATAGTTAGAGAACAGTCACTACCCTCCCAACATCAACAAGGTCAACGTATACGACTTTTACGTTGACGATGGCTACCACCTACGATGGTGGTTTATCCACACTCTCGCTACATGCACAGCGGGCAAATGCAATTGGGACGAAGCCATGCAGTCACAGGCATGGATCTTCGATCTCTGCAAGATGAACTAGTAACAGAGAGTCGATTACATGACGCACGCAAGCGGTTTAAATTATTCACCTCCACTGGATTACTACGACGATACTCCCATGGACCAAGGCTAAGGTGTCAACATGGGCCGGTACACTGGTAGAGTAAGCTGAGCATAGATGAGTATTTAAGAGAGGCTCTGGCGCCCTGATCTAAGGTAGAAAGCAAGGACATGGAACATTCGAGCTGAGTATCTATCACGGTAGAACAGAGCCTGATCAAGTGTGAATTCAGCGGCTCTCTTCATGATGGTAAACAACAGATGGTGTCGATGGAGATTTTCTCACTCCAAAGAGTTACCTGTGGCTTAGTAGGGTCAGAAGCTTCGAAGCGAACCATGGCATCGAGAAACTTTGTATAGAAAGGGACCCTCGGAGAAAGGTTTCAGACCTTGAGTACCAGTATGGATAGATGGTATGGGCAGGTAAATAATGAGGACAATTTCTCCCAGACGCCAGGATCTTTAGAGAGAAACAACTCTTCAACTTCCACCATTTCCGATCCCAAGGAATCCCACCCACAAACTTCATCTACCTACAATTGACAGGCTTCATCAATCACTCACGATTATTATTTCACCCGAGTCTCCATTCTCATCCAACCTCACTTCTCGGTCAAGCTTCGTTTTCCACTCAAGCTTCTCCGCACAGTACATGGAGCCAACACTACGAGAGACACCATTTCACGATTATACAACCAACCGTCAAGATGAAGTCTACATCAATCCTCTTCGCCATCCTTTCCAGTGCCTCCCTTGCAGTTGCAGGAGAGCTCCGAGGCCCCAAGGACGAAGATAAGCTCTCAAGGGGTCCGCTTCCAATTCACCAGCTCCCCGAATGCTGGCAGGGCTGTCTCCAAAGCGAGAATTACTTGTACCCCCCCAACATCAACAAAGTCAGCGTCTACGACTTCTGCATGGACAAGATGTTCGACATGCGCTTCTGGTCTCACCACGCCCTTGGTGCATGCACTTATAGCGCTTGCAGTAAAGCTGAGGCCTACGTAGCACAAGACTGGTACTATGAGATCTGCCATATGAATTAGGCTTTCAACGCGATCCGGTCAAAGTACCTACAGCTCATCTTAAGAGAAGCAGCTACTGGAATAGCTATCTTCCTTACATCAAGGCAAATCCAGACATCATTCACCGTACCCTGGCAGTGGTACCACGCACACTTGTGACTTCAGCGACACGGACAAGATTGTAGGAGGAAAGTGATCGAAGAGAATCACATGAATGACAAGAAGACGAAGGGTATCGATCCGAGACAACACGGAAAATATTGTAGGAAGGTAGGGATTGACGAGAATCACATGGAGTGACGAGAAGACGAAAAAATATCGTTCTGGGAACGATGTTCTATGGTGTTTGGATAATCACCCGCCCAAAGTAGTGAAACACAATACAAACAACTTCACTATGCCCCATGGAAATGCTCAAAAGTGCCGTTCAAGCCCAGAGAGAAGGTATTGATAGTCTTTGACTCGTCTATTGTCGGTCTTGCGTGCGAGGGACAAATGAGCAAAGACGAGTCGACGTGATTCAAGGGTCGCAGAGACAAGCCCCAATGAGTTGGATCATGAATCACGCCGAAAAAGAAGACGTGGTTGCGCTCGCATCGTGATTGGCCGAAGCTCCGAAATCGAGTGTGTCATGCACACCACTTCCCCCGGAGCTAACCCAACCCCGGTCCGCATCAACCTGCCGTCCCCTGACAAGCCCATTCCCACTCCGTCCATCATCCTCCTTCCAACTATCATTGCCGTCCATCTATCCATACTAGACTCCTTCGCGTTGTTAGAACTGCTCGCCGGTTGATCCCTTCAGAGCAACGACCTGATCCTACAATACCTTACCTTAGACGCCTCAAAGACTCGGCCTGTGTTCGCTTCGATCCCCTCAATAGACCATCTCTTATCAGCAGCATCCAGCTCACCCCGCGATCGCCGCCCTTATCGCCTCATTATCGGCAGCCCTGAACCCTATCTCACCTTACCTCTCCTCTCCGCGTTCTCGACACCTAGACGTCCATTCACCTCCAATTCCCGATCCAACCGCTGCCTCCGAAAGTCATCCCCCTACGCGATTACCACTCCATCCGCCCAGCATGGCAATCTTCAGCGCCGTCCCTCCCCCCGAGACCATCGACCACCAGATCCCCAACACCGTCTCCTCCCCGCCGCCCCAATCCCAGACCCCGGTCGCCGCCCACGTCGCAGCCCAGAGCGCGACCCCCGGCTCAGTCGATATCGAGGCGTGGACAGTCTCCGCCCTCGAGTCCCTGAGCGTCAGCCCTGTTGCCCGCGGCACGGGTACGCCACTGGCCATCAACCTCGACGAGCAGGTCAAGAAGGCCTATGCCGCCGCTGTCACGATTGCCACCGAGACGACGACTGTACAGCAGACGCCTATTCGGCGGCCTTTGAGCAGGCGGGATAGTCAGAAGAAGAGGGAACAGCTTCTGAAGGGGAATGAGGGGAGCAGGGCGCGTCGGCGGTGGGAGAATGGTACGTCTCTTTCTCTTCTCATCTCGAACAGAATCTTTGCCAGACCAGCGCACCCCTGTGACACCCCTTTGTCTCTCAACCGCTAACCACATTGTCCCCTTCATAGACCGCCTCATCGGTGTACCAAACGCCCAACCCCCCCTCCCAAGCGACTGGGAAGTCCACCCGACCTACCCAGTCCAAGTCGTCCCCTACCAAGTCGCCCAGTACTGGGACACCGGCCTCCGCCAGCGCATCGAAGAGAAGACGGCCAAGCTCCAGGCGCAGCGCAAGAAGCAGCAGCGCAAAGACGGGTCAGCGACAGGTTTGTCTGTCGGCGAGGTGCCGCGCGACCTGCGCGACACGGCGAAGCGGACGCCTGCTGTGCGCGGGTGGGTGCGCGTCCTCGAGGAACCCGTGCGGAGTTTCTTGAAGGAACGAAGCGAGGCTAGCGACGCGGAGGGGGATAGCGAGGACGAGGAGATTGTGTTTGTGGGCAGAAAGGGAATGGCCTCTGCTGGCAAGGGGTGGAAGAAGGCGAGGAGGGAGGTGGGGAGTGAGAAGGTTGATGACGGGATGGTGTTTGATTCGTTGGGGGATGACGAGAGTGCTTCGTTCAAGTAAGACTTTTCCCATTTCCTATCACCCTTTTTTGAGGCGTTGGACGGAATTTTGCTGACCTTGTTATTCCACAGACGATGGTTGACGCATTCCATTTCGGATTACTACGGTCTACAATCCCACTCCGTCACTACAGGCGAGCCCGCCCGCCGGGTGGTGTACGTGACGGTACGGGAGCCCGGCAAGCGGTCGAGTCCGAAGAAGCACACAGTCTTGCCGCGCCCTCTTTGGGAGATGTGCTGAGCTATGTGCTATTGGCCCCCGGGTCCCTCCTTGCATAGTAACAGTTGTTTTCGGCATAATACAGTCATTTTAGAGGTGCTTACTCTCCGGACTATTTCTCTATACCGCATCGTTGTAAACGGCACCATCCAAAGATACCCTTGTAGGCCTTTCTTGGAAGTCGACGCCTACGAAGAGTTGAGGAGGAGGAGGAGGGCACCTGCCGGCTAGATACGTTGGAGATGCTCGAAATTCTAGAATAGATCCACGCATGTGGCATAGGGGGTGAACGAGCTGCGGGACTGCTGAACCAAGACTTCGGAACGGATATCTCGGATGGTGTTATTGTTGGTGTATTTCACGTCGGCGAGTGCCGTAGTAACAGGGCATTCGCGTCGCCACCTAGCCGAGGAGATCTCAGATGAAAAGGCATGGTGGACTCACTAGGTACTTAGTTAAATTTCCGACTTTGGTCACTTAGCTCTGGTTCTTCAATCAGTTCTAGATTCTTACCACGCCCACAGTGATTCACGAAAAAGCTCCTGGTCCGATCCCAAATAGATGGAACGTCATCGTAACGTCTAACGACACCGCAAGTCCACTTCAGCATACACCACACGCTCTATCCCCAATCCCAGGGTATGCCACCACTCTGTACTCGACATCTCTAGCCTCGTCATATACGCGACTGAATACTCTGCAACCGAAAGCTGTTCTTCAGAGCTTCCTCTTCGCTTTTTTCGTCTACTCTTCTGTCCTGGTCGTGGGCGTCGCCCTCGCCCTCGCCGACGCCGCCTTTGCGTGGGTTTCCTCCTGGATTCCCATGCTGTTGGTGTTTGACTTTGTCGCGACCACCTGGATTGCGATGTCCAAGAAACTTCACTAGAGGTGCCAACTCGGCTTATTTATACTCGTGCAGCGCGATTCTTGTATGGAGTACAATACAAAAGGCGATACGTTTTGCAACTTTGCAACGTTTAGGTTTCACCCGTATTGCTCGCTTTCGTTATGGTCGTTTTCGGGATCATTTTTCGTACTTTCTCGGCTTTTCCTCGGCAGACATGTCATTTTGGCTTCTGCTTCGCTTGGCAATGGGAGTGTACTTCAGGCGTCACAGTATCACCGATCAATAATACGTAGATGACCGGACATGTCACGCGACGGGGATTCCTTTCAGCCTGGCGGGGAAAAAAAAGAACAATATTTGCAAGGTCTCCCCATTATTAAAATAAGTACCTATACAACTGACGGGGCCAAGCTAAAGTAAAGAAGAGCGGTCTATTCGAGGCACTCAATCATCTGTGGCATTGTAGTTCTTGTGCGGGTCACCAATACCGCCGGGGCGCAGCAGAGGTCTTGTCTCCCGCTCGACCTGCCGCTCCTCTCTGTCTTGTAACCGCTCCAGCTCCTCCTCTGTGTCGGCGTACCGTTCGGGATGGGCGGTGTAAGGGCCAGGAAGACCTTGCTCCCAACCTTCCGAGTAGGTTCTGCTCGGGTTGGGGCGTCTCGGCTCGTCAACGAGGGTAGGAGACTGCGGCTCTCCGTGGTGCTCCTGGAACTCGTAGTAGATGGCCATGGCAAGAAGGACGCCCTGGATTGAGGCAGTTAGGACGAAGACGCCCCACGTGCTCCATCCTTCCCAACCAAGGCGGGCAAACAGGCTTCCGGCGAAGAGGAAGCCGCCGGGGGTCTGGATGCACATCATGGGGATGCTCAAGCTGCCGACGTGCTTGATGTGGTAGGTCGTCCAGATCTGCGGAATGTACTGGACCGTGGCAAGAGCGGCGGCCATGACGCCGAGGAAGTTTGCCCACAAATCGAGGTGATCTCTGAGCGCGGTGGTGAAGACCACAGTCAGGATGATGACGAGCAGGCCGTGGATCAAGCACACAGAGCCGACCATGATGGCAGTGTGCCACGAAGGCGGCTTATCGACGAGCTCCTCCTCGGGGACAGTCGCATTGTCGTATCGGAAGAAGATGAGGAACAGGACAAGGCTGTAACAGGCAGGAGTCAGTGTATGTCACTGATAAACAAATTCGAGGAGGGAAGCTCACATCAACGCAAAGGAGATCCACTGCATGCCCAGCTGGGCAATTCCGAGCAGACCAGCAGCACACTCGAAGGTGCCCAGTTCGCCACAGCAGGCAATGTCGCGTCTTGAGGGCGGAACGGTCAGGATATTGGCGAAGCCGGCAGTGGCGGACGTGACTCCCAGCAAGACGAACCATGGCGAGATGCCTTCCGAGGTACCTCTGGCGATAATGCGGTAGTGCTGCGGCAGGTAGGAGACGACGAGACCGATGAGGATGATACTGTGCGGAAGGGATTAGCTAGTGTTTGGCAGATTGCAGGTACCCTCCGTGGAGCTTGACTGACATGGAAATTGTCAGGTTGAGGAAGCCAGGAGCGCGAAGCTCGGCGCAGCGGTCGTCGAAGATTGTCACAACCATGCTTGGTGTAGAAAGACCGTCCGGAGTATGGTGGTTTGCGGGCTTCGGTCTGAAAGGTGAAGCTTCTCGGAAGTGGGCTACAATGGACAGCCTCGGCTGTCGTGGTAGGCAGTGACACCAGCTCTTTCTCGGGTACCACCACAGGCAGGTTATCCGTCGCGTCGCAAAAGGTAAGATGTCGAAGGTCCCGGAGACCCAAAGCAAAGCGGCAGGATGAGAGAGGAAGCAGTGGCTAGGCGTGCATTGCGTAACCGTCGGAAG